TAACATCATTGTCAGCAAAAGAGGCAGTCCATGGCATATGCTAAGTTTTGCAGATTTCATCTCCCCCCACCCCCAGTATGTGAAGAAAATTAACTATTTGGGCAGGACATAAACAAATGATAGAAAATGTGACACAATGATCCAAATAGCGCTAATGTAATATTGAATCTCCTATATGCCAATGAATGCTGGACAATCTCCTTATGCCTTTCATAAACTAAACAAAGTATTAAGAAATAGGAAAATGTCACTGGAAACAAAGAAAAAAGTGCTGAATAGCTATGTAAGATCTAAATTCCTCTATGGTAGCGAATGCTAGACAATTTTCACAGAGCCTAAAAGGAGAACAGAGATGTGGTTCTACCCATGAATACAAAGATAACCATGGATAGAACATGTGAGCAATGAGGAAGACTTAAGGAAAATAGAAAATGCAAGGTAATTTATACATACAATCAAAATAAGAGATTTTAAATTTATGTGACAAAAATTGAGGAAAGCATGCCTAGAGAATATGACACTCATAGGACACAGTGAAGGCCAGAGACACCTATTTTTTTGTGAAGCAGAACAGGGACCAAGAGAGATAGTAAAGGATAAAAAAATTACATAGAGGAGCAACAAAAGATAAGAAGTTGTGTCAAACCAATATTACTCACATCCTGAGTCGACTTGACACATAAAAGAAGAAAATTTAAATTGTTACTTTATTTGAATGTGTCCACTAGGCCTGCAAATATTTTTTGAAATAGGCCTGCAAAATTTATTTTTATTTGAAAAGTTTAACGTCATTTTCTTTATTTTTTAAATACATTACATAAGTCTGCCAGTTGGGAAATTAAACATTAGTTTTCTCTGGAATGTACTTCTGCTTAATTTTAATATATTTGTTGATGGTTAGATTATGCTTCATTCACTACCTTTCATAGCAGATCAATTATTGTACATTCACTATACAGTGTGAAATATTTTTTTCTTTTTATGTATTTTCTAAAAATAACAATTACTATATTTGCAGGCCTATTGGGGGACACACCCACACATTGAATGCACCCAGATTTTTGGCATGGAATATTTAGGTAAAAAAAGGCAGACATCACAACCAAAACAATCAAAATTATAACTTTGCATTTATGTGGCATTCTCACTATGAAGAAACACTTAGAGTATCAGCACAAATTACACTATTGGTACTATTTTTGATACAAGTGAGGTAAAGTTTAATTACCAGATGAATTTCATTGTGCATTTATTGAAAATCATTTTAGTTGTTTTTCAGGGAGAAACATCTGCACAGACAGTAAATTCTTAATAGTGACAAAAAAATCTACTGGTATCAGTGAACACTGGTACATATGGTAATAGGCAAAAAAACAGAAACATGGTACTTGTTGGTAAATGAAGTCCCATATCATACATGCAGAAAATCAAATTCCAATACCTGTATATCAACAAAAACACACACAAATCAAGCAGGAATATGCTAGTCAAAGCAAATATTTCAGTAAAATCTGGTATTTCTACAAAACAAGCAGCAAAATATTGTGCAATTCTATAAATTTCTTAATTTATTTTTCCTGGAGGAACTTTTTAGGAATATTTTTATTGATATCATGTTTGTTCACTTCTAGGAGTTCTAGTTTTAGAGATAGATACTATGTGTAAACTGATTCCTGGTGAAACCCATTTTTTTTTTTTCATGGTCTTCATGTCTCTCTCATATATGATACTGATGTATTGGACACAGGGTAATTTTTTAGTGCATTTTTTGGGGGAAAATCTCTATCCAAATACGGTACTTGCTGTTTCCATCTTTGGTGGATTGAAACTTATTTCTCACCATTAACTAATATTTCTATTACCATTTATTACAATGTTGAGCAAGCTTTTTTAATGTCTACCACTCATTAGTTGGTGACCACAGAATTATGTTATCCTTCCATTTTTGTTTCAGTTTTCCTCTACTTCCTTTTTCCGGGAACTATACATCATGCACAATTTACTGAACCCTGCACAAGATTGTTTTGATGTATCCAAAATGACTGAAGGCAAATTAGTTACAAATTAGTTACAAGTGGTTAGTTTTACTTTGTCTATCAGCTTCTGATATATATTGATATATTGGAATGTTGCAATCTAAGCTGAAAGTCTGTATTATACGATCTAAATCATATAAAACAACTGGAAGAATTCAGTCATCGTGTCTGAACAAGGAAAAGGAGATAAAATAAAAGGAAAGAACAAGACTTTTAATCTCATGCCAAAATTTAGTTCCCTATTGGTTGTATTCACTTACAGGAGTTGCAGTCTACATAGCTACAGTCATTGAAAATTTGGCCACTGTGGTTCTTGAGTTGGCAAGAAATGCTGCCAAAGATGACAGGAAATTCAGAAGAATTCCTTCTCACTTGCAATTGGATATCTAAAATTAAACCAAGTTTTAAATTAAATACTCAACATACACTGATGTGCAAATGTTTCTGGGTAACTACATAAAATGATTATACACTTTTATTTTAATAAGTTAAGATTATTTCAGAGTATGCTAAAATATACTTATATTTATATATAATAATAACTAATAAATAAAAACAAATTGAGTAAATAATGAATAAATTAGCAAACTACTAATGCACATGTAAACACAAGTAAATATAATAATGAACAACAAATAATAAAGTAATCAATAATAAATGATGTTAATAAACAACACTAGAAAATAGCTACAAATAACTGCATTTTGATTCACAATTATTTCTACTCAATAACCTCTAGAATAGGATAATTGTTGCTGACTACCCAATAACAGCTAGGATAGTACAATATACCTTGCTACCCATAATGCACAATTGACCAGCATATATAAGCCAAAACACAACCCACATGGCCTAAGATTGAGTTCCAGCATGAAACAGACTGTCACCACTAGGTGTTGACTTCAGTGGTGTCCACTTCATATATACATATATACAGGTTGTCTCCAAAAAATGTATACACCCTTTAGTTTATATTTTTTAAAGTGTGTATACATTTTTTTTGGACACCCTGTATATATATATATATATATATATATATATACACACACACAGGATCTCTCTCTCTCTCTCTCTCTCTTTCTCTCTCTCTCTCTGTATATATATATATATAGAGAGAGAGAGAGAGAGACAGAGAGAGAGAGTCAGAGAGAGAGAGAAAGAGACGGACAAATATGGAATGATAAATGATTTTTATTTTATTTATTATATATACATATATATATATATATATATATATATATATATATATATATATATATATATATATAGAGAGAGAGAGATAGTCTAGAAATTGTGTCTCAGGTGATCATTAAACCGAAACTGACAGTCACCATGAAGTGTTGATTTCTATGACCAACAAATACTATTTCTCTGATATTCAGAATCCTTCCCTCATAAATATACCAAATTTTCAAAAAATATAATTATATCTATATAAATAATAGATACCATGGAAAAGGTTGTGCTATAAAATATAAAATACAACTTTTCTTTGGCATCTTTTTGTTTTTGGCACTCTGATCTTAAAAAGATAGTATTAAAGGTTTTTTCAAGAAAATATTTTAATTCTAATTTGTACAGAGATAAAAGTTTATCATCTTAATTCTTCTTATATAATTCTATATATATATCTATATTCTTATAGATCAATCTAATTTTTTTAAAAAATGTAATTTTCATGAACTCTTCAAATGAGGAAGCTAAAAATTAAACCAGTTAGATATGATTAAAAAACTTGAAATGCTGATAGTTAAAGGGAAATAAAAGGCATTCATATGAAATTATATATATATATATATATATATATATATATATATATATATATATATATATAACATAAAAGAGGGGACATGTTGCCCCCAAATCAAAAATGTGTTTGACTTAATTCTGTTGGATCTTTATCCGGCAAGAGAGAATCGTATTCCGTTAACAAGAAAGGCGGAACTAAGAAGTCTCTAGGAAAAAAAAGTAGGAAAAGTTTTTCACCAACTTTGTTAGAAAGTAGCGTGAAAAGATTAACCATATTTTGAAGAGGAAAATCAAGAAGTGGGGTTGGAAAGGTGGAAGATAGGTTGGGAGGGAAAAGAGACTAAATAAATGAAGTGGAAGTTGCAGTGAATAAAAGACTAAGGAGACTAAAGAAAAAAGAAAGGTGAGCTGATAATGATGAGAGAGACCTAGAAGAAAGAGGATGAAAAAGAGTCAAAAGAAAAGAGAAAAGATGAAAAAAAGGAAGGAATAAAGAGAGGAATTAGAAAATGAATTAGAAAGGTAAAGTGTAAATGTCTGTTAGGAGCAAACATACTAGCAGATAAGAGAGAAGGAGGAAGAAGGAAAGAAGGGTAAAGAAAAAAATGTTGGACTAAAAGAGAAAAGAAAATGAAAATGAACAAGAGACCAATGAACAAGCAACAGAGTGAGAGGAAGAAAAGAAGGAAGAGGAGCAATAAAAAGAAGAGTGGGAGTAAGAGAGAAAAGGAAAGGAAAATGGACAAGAGACCAATGAACAAACAACTTGTAAGTGGCAGGAAGAAAAGAAGGAAGAGGAGCAATAAAATAACAGTAGAGTGAAATAAGGAGTAGTGTAGGAAAGGAAGAATATAAAAGAGAGTAGCAGTGAAAGAGAAGAACAAGGAAAGAGATGATAAGAAAGAATAGAAGGAGGTAAGTAAATGCAATGAAATGACAGATCAAGCAAGCTAAGGTAAACTGTCAAAACTAAGACAGAACAAGAGGGACAATGGAAAGTCAGAGAAGATCTTTGAGTAATAAGATTATAGTCTTTCTATATCTTTCTAGTTTGATATTTCTTTCTTTCTTTCTCCTCTTCTAACATGCTAATAGGTAAAATGTTGATAGAAAGTGAATAGATCAGTACCCGTCAGAAAGTAAAGAAAGGAAAGTATGACAGAATATACACACGTATCTACACTAACTCCTTCCCCCTGATAATATTGATCGGATATGGAAGTCGTCATGAGCTATCTAAATGTAACGCGTGGTGTCTTGAACCTTTACTTCAGTTACCATCTATTATATTCAGTCTGCCTGCTTGTGCTTTTTAGGGGCCTTTTCCCACATTTCTCTCTATGCTACATTTCACCTCTTTGTCCCTCCCTTAACCCAGCTCTCTTTCTCTCTCTCTCTCTCTACCTACCTAACCCTCCATTCTCTTTCTTCAGTCGCTGTCTCCATCTTCGCCACCTTTTTCCGTTTTTCCTCTTGTGTGCATACAGCTCAATGGCCAGGAAAATTACTTCAGCTTGCCCATGATTTAGAACCTCTCGGTGCCTTTGCCAGCGTGGAGACTAGTGGAATAACTCGGCATGGGGTAACTAGCCAAGCATGCAAGTTCCAAGAGTTGCCCACTGGCCTTTGTCAGGCGGCTGGAGGCGCTACGTCACAACTTTATACCAGCTTCGATAGGCTGACACCAGAAACGCAAATCTACCAGCCAGAATAAAATTAGCACCGACACCACCAACAATGACGCCACCACTGTCGCTGTTGAAAATGGTTCCACCAATGCTTTTTTTTTTAAAACTTTATCTTTTCTTAGGTTTCTCTCTCTCTCTCTCTTTCTTTATTGTTTTGCCTTCATTTTTTCATGTCTTTGCTTACTTTAATCTTTTTCCTTTTCTTCTTCTCTTTCTCTCTCCTTTTTCATTCCTCTTTCCTCTTGGCTATCTCTATTCCTTCCATTCCTTTTTTTCTTTCATTTTTAGTTCGTTTTTCTCTTTTACTTTTCTTGAGTCTGTTTATTTTGTTACCTTATTATTTTTGTTTCTGTCTCTCTTTATTCTTTCTCTTTTACGTTTATTGTTTCTCATTCTCTTACTTTTTTCTCTTTCTTTATTCTTTTCCTTCCTTGTCTCTTTTCATTCTTTTGTCGTACTCTTTCCCTTTTCTTTTGTCTTTCTATTCTTCATTATTTTCTTGTGTCTCTACTTCTTTCTTCTTTGTTTTCTTTATTCTTTCATTTCTCTTTTATCTTGTCTTCTTCTTCTTTTCTTTCACTCTGTCCTTTTTTTTTCTTTCACTCTTTGTTTCCCTTTTGTCTTTTAATCTTTTTCTTCCAGTTCTTTTTCTTCAGGATTTCTTTCTGACTTAATCTTCTTTTTCCCTTCTATCTTCCACTTTCTTTCTTTCTTTCTTTCTTTCTTTCTTTCTTTCTTTCATTGCCACTTTCACATTCTGATTATGTTTACATTTTCTGTTTTCTTCATTCTTTCAAAATCTGCTTGATATCATCATCTTTCTTTTAGAGAATTTAATCACCAAAAAGGTCTTCTTTGTAAAAAAAAAAAAACAATACCAATAATAAAAACAACTAAGCACCTTTTCATCACCTTAAATGACTCCAAGTTAAAAGTTCTACAACAGCAGATTTTAAAGTAGAAACAGTGAAAATACAGTGAAACTTTGTGTTTGATTTATTTATTTTTCATAAACTTCTTTCTCTGTAAACATTTTTTATTCATTTTTATTAATTTTCTCTTCTTTTCAGTTGATGATGTTAATTTAAAATCAATAGAATTGTATGAAGCATTATGTGCAGAACACCAGAAAAATCCATGAAGGAAAAAGAAGAAAAGATTTCAGCTAATATTTCACTTGAAATATCACCACATCTTCTCTCTCACATGAATCTGAGCTCAATGTGGTTTAAATTGTTTATGCATTTCAAATACAAACATATATAAATATATGTGTGTGTGTGCATTTGTATATACTAGTTTACTGACACTGTTAAAAGTGACAGCAGTTGCATATATGGAACTCACAATCATAATTGTTGTACATGGATCTTTCATGGAATCGGTTGTTTCCAGTCTTGGAACAGTCTATGATTGTCATAATGAAATCACCACTGTCAGATCAAGAGAGATCATTCTAGTAAGGAAGAAAGTTACAGACATTGTAAACAATTAATATAAGAATACATATGACATACTACATACACACACATATATTAAAATATATAGACATAACAATTTCAACAACACTAGTTCAAATCATATCTGGACATTATATGTTGCAATGGGCATCTGTAATTTTTCAATACAATAATATTTCTTATGAGGCTTTTGTAAATAGATCTTTTTTAATGTTTCAGTTCCGATTATTTATTAAAACTCTTATAAAAACATTTTTATTGATAGCCAGTAGAAAATAATTGTTCTTTTAATAGGCAGTATAGTGAAGCAGTTTTATTGAAGGCAGTGCAAAAATTGTTTTACTGATAGGGAGAACAAAAGACTCATTTTATTGAAAATTGGGACAAAAGAATTATTTTATTGATGGCTAGTACAATGAAATAGTTTTACTGATAGGGAGTTCAAAAGAATTATTTTATTGATGGCTAGTACAATGAAATAGTTTTACTGATAGGGAGTTCAAAAGAATTATTTTATTGATGGCTAGTACAATGAAATAGTTTTACTGATAAGAAGTTCAAAAGAATTATGTTATTGATGGCTAGTATAATGAAATAGTTTTACTGATAGGGAGTTCAAAAGAATTATTTTATGGATAAGTATTTTAAACAAATTGATTTACTGAAAGGCAGTACTAAAGAATAGTTTTACTGGTAAATAATACAAGTAAATAGTTTTATTGATAGGCAGTGCAAAAGAATTGTTTTACTGTCAGGGATTCCGAAAGAATTGTTTTACTGATAGGAAGTTCAAAAGAATTGTTTTACTGGTACTCAATACAGATAAATAGTTTTACTGATAGGCAATACAGATAAATAGTTTTACTGATAAGCATACATATAAATAGTTTTACTGAAAGCAGTTCAAAAGAATTGTTTTTACTGACAGACAATGCAAAAGAATTGTTTTATTGATAGGCATTTCAAAAGAATTCTTTTGCTTATAGGCAATACAGATAAATAATTTTACTGACAGGAAGTTCAAAAGAATAACTTTACTGATATACTGTTAAAAAGAATTGTTTTACTGATAGACTGTTAAAAAGAATTGTTTTGCTGATATATAATACATGTAAATATTTTTACTGAAAGGATGTTAAAAAAATTGTTTTACTGAAAGGCAATACAGATAAGTAGTTTTACAGAAAGGAAGTTCAAAAGAATAGTTTTACTGATAGGTAGTTCAAAAGCATTTTTACTGATAGGCTGTGCAAATGAATTGTTTCTTTATAGGCAATACAGATAAATAGATTTACTGAAAGGCTGTTTAAAATAATAGTTTTACTGATAAACAGTTCAAAGAATTGTTTTACTGATAGGCAGTTCAAAAGAATTGTTTTACTGAGAGACAGTTCAAAAGAATTATTTTATTGATATGCAATATACAGTTTTACTGAAAGGCAGTTCAAAAGAATAGTTTTATTGATAGGCAATATGGATAAATAGCTTTACTGATTGAGTTGTTTTAGTGATAGGCGGTGCAATAGAAATGTTTTACTGACAGGAAGTACAAAAGTATTGTCTTACTGATACGGAGTACAAAAGAATTGTTTTACTGAGAGGCAATTTAAAAGAATTGTTTTACTGATAGGCAATACAGATAGTTTTACTGGTAGGCAGTGCAAAAGAATTGTTTTATTGATAGACAATACAGATAAATAGTTTTACTGAAAGGCTGTTCAAAAGAATACTTTTACTGATAGGCAGTTTAAAAGAATTGTTTTACTGATAGGCAATACATATAAGTAGTTTTATTGAAAACAGTAAAAGAGAATAGTTTTATTTATAGAAAGTACAAAAGAATTGTTTTACTGATAGGCATTACAAAAGAGTTGTTTTTCTGATAGGCATTTCAGAAGAATTGTTTTTTGATAGGCAGTTCAAAAGAATTGTTTTACTGATCAACAATACAGATGAGTATTTTTACTGAAAGGAAGTTCAAAAGAATTGTTTTACTGATAGGCAGTGCAAAAACATTTTTTTACTGAGAGACGGTTCAAAAGAATTATTTTATTGATAGGCAATACAGATAAATACTTTTACTGAAAGTTTTTTCAAAACAATAGTTTTACTGATAGATAGTGCAAAAGTACTGTTTTACTGATAGGAAGTGCAATACACTTGTCTTACTTATAGACAATACATATAAATATTTTTACTGAAAGCATTTTAAAAGAATGATTTTACTTATAGATAGTACAAAAGAATTGTTTTACTGATAGGCTGTTCAAAAGAATTCTTTTACTCATAGGCAATACAGATAAATAATTTTACTTAAAGTATATTCAAAAGAATATTTCTACTGACAGGCTGTTCAAATGAATTGTTCTACTGGTAGGCAGTTCAAAAGGATTGTTTTGCTGATAGGCAATACAAATAAATAGTTTTACTGAAAGACATTTCAAAAGAATCATTTTATTGAAAGGCTGTACAAATTTTTTTATTCAGTTCATTATCTTTTGTTTAACTAATTATTAAAATGCTTGTATAAAACTTTGGAATTTGGTCAATCAGAGAAAGAATTCTTTTTTCCTTTTTAGAAAAGAAGATGAGATTTTATAACTTTAAACTAGCATACATTATAAAATTTTAAAGAAATTTTGCCATCTGATTTGCTAGGACTCTGGTTTTCAATGTAACATTTGATTAACTCTTTCTCATCATGTCCACTATTTCATTTGGCCATGGTTTTAACCATTATCCTGCTGCTTCTCTTTTCTTTCTCGATTTCTGAATGGTAGGGCCATCCGCTGTATCTTAAGTTCTCAAGTATGTTCTTACTGTTTTCATTTTACCTCTGTGTGGTTTACTTATTTGATAGTTTATTCTTATTAACCTTTCTTCTTTGTTGATAAGAATTATGTATTGTGCTTGTGTTGAAATATAATGACATAATTAATATTACTTCTGTAGTTGCAATCAATATTACATGTGATGATGTTTTTTTCAATAATAATGATATTTGTAAAATGAAAGTTATCCTACTCATCTTCTTTATTACAGTTACAACACTTATTTCTTGGAATTTTGAACATCATTCCACTGCCCAATGTTGATGATATCTGTACCAGTCGGTCTTAATTCATTAATCTTTGTAGAGTTACTTATCTACCTCTGCTACTCTACCAGTGTATATAAGTTTTTGTACTACACTACACTAAACAATAATTAAACTCCCCAAGTGACTAGATATTGTAAACTAAACCTATAATCCACTAGACCATTACTCCATATGATAATTCAAGGGTGGAAACTTGGAGGATTAAGCCTAATGTTATTTGTTTGCCTCTTTCATTGAGCCAGAGTAGATAATCTTTGCAATACCCAAAGTTTTAGGGAAAACTATAACAAAATAGAAAAAGTTTTCTGTCGCACATTTTGTCCTTTAGGACTCCATCAGGTTACTGTCATATTTACATTGAAGCAACTATATATGTGCACAAAAGAGAGGAGAGGTTGAGAATTTTAAACTTAAAACTTTTTTTTTAATATATATTTTGAGTATATAGTCTAGCTGATATCATCTAGTTATTTTCTTTTAGTTTATGTTTCCATCACTTTTGTTATTAAACATGTTTAAACTTTTCCTGCTTTGTCATAGTATTTGATTTTGCTATATAAAATTTATATATCATCTTTCCACTTGTGTAATTAGGTGGTTGATTTTGTTTTAATTTAAATCTAAATTTCTTTCTTAATTAAAGGCTCCCATATGGTGTTCATTTCTATGCTAGGTCTACTGATGAAGTTATAAGATCCCAATTTATGCAATGATTACACAAAAGTTTACCATCTATGACAGATCTATGTCTGAAGGCTGGCAACTATAATGACTAAAAGTTTATGGCTATAATAATCAAGATGAAAACACTAGTCTGAATAAATCAGTGTATAATAATCTTTTCTTTATATAAAAAATTAAAACAAAAATGATTTTAAAAACATGGAATTTGTAGTTGTTTTGTTTTTAAGATTTTCAATGAATTTCAAGTTGTTTTCATAGTTTTCCAAAATCTGATAAAAAAAAATTATGAGCCTTGACTAAGTGAAATAAGAAACTGTGCACATTGATGTGATGTCCTGTGCACGTGGAAATTGTTGAAAAAAAAAGAGTCTGATATTCAGCATTGCAATTACTCCAAACCATTTCAGTACAGCTTGTCTGACCTGTGAATAGTGTTTTTGCAAACTCATTCACCCTGACTGTGTATTGAGATGTAAAAAAATTTTAATTTCATATAATTGTATGTTTGTTGCTGACTAAATATGCTTTCAGCTTCATCTCAACCATATGCTGACCTCATTAAGC